ATTAAAATGAGACCTCTCCCAACTCCACATGACCTTTCTTTGCAAAGTTATAGAATTTACAACAAAAGCCCTAAATGTTCATTGTCAGCTAAAAGCTACAGAAATAAGAAGAAATTAATTTAGGGCTGCTTCGTCGAGGTATGCAACCACGCTCTCAACCGCCGAAGATAGATGAAGTTAAAAGTAGCGTCGTTCGAATCAGTGTGAAAAACTGGGCTGAATTTGTTTCAGAATTTTCCAAACAATATTTGAACCTGAGTGCTACTTTAATACTAGATTCTGATTTCGTGGTTTCTACTCTTCCAGACAAGATATTTCACAAAAGATTCGAATGAAAGGCAGTCGTTTTGTAGATTATTCACAACTTTCTGAAAACTCGTTTTCTTTAAGCGACCATGGATTTCTAAGGCTAAAACAAACTCGACAGTCCCATATAGATGAGGGTAGATGAGAATGGGAGATTTAAGTTCGTGACGAACATAACTTCTGCTATCTTTTTAAGCTCATGATAGATTGGAGTAGGAGCTGTTATTGCGCGACGAACTTGACTTTCGCCAGATTTTTAAGTTCTCCGAGAACGCGAATGCATCAATATATGAGTTTATTATCCAAAAATATTTGTGTTTCTCATCAGAAATTGTTTCGCTTTAGAAAAAGATAACTGAAAGGTGTAACATACTAGACTGTCAAGGTTCAAAATATTTAAAAGTAAATAAAATGTTGACACCAATGATCGATGCATCAGCCAGTGAATATTGGTTGTTTCACGGATGTTCAAAACAAACTGTTTGCAAACTCACACATGAAGGTTACGATCCTCGTGTATCCAACTTGGATGGAATGTTCGGAGGAGGATTTTATTTAGCAGCAAATTCAAGTAAATCAAATCAATATATAATGTGTCCCAATTGTAAAAGAAATTCAATATTTACTGGTATCAGGTGTAAATGTCGAAATCAAGAAGAAATGGAATTTCAAATATTAATCTATCGTGCCCTGCTTGGTGATTTGCATATTGTAGTAGATTACGATCCAAAGAAGTACCGTGGTAAGGGAAAAGATCGGATACGCCGAGCACCAATTAAAGCAAACAACAATAATGTGTATGATTCAGTTCTGGCTGAAAAACAAAAGTATGGTGGTAATAAACTGAAATACCGTGAGATTATTTTATATGAATCATATCAAGCTTATCCAGAATATGTTGTTACCTTTAAACGATCAGCTGCGAATGTTCGAGTACCAGCTTGTGGTGATGATTTATTAAATAAATGTTATGATTTCCTTACAAATAGAGCTGAATGAAAGTATCATTTGCTTTGTGAATGACAATTTTTGGAAAATATACACGATTGGCATTTACTTCTCTAGAACAAAAGAAATAAAAACCTCAAACTTTGAGAAACAATAAATATCGAAAGAAAATGTCAAATTTTCTTGAAGCTCAATGAGTCTTTGGATCAGTATCGCTGATAGCACTGGTTGAATATGTTTAAAATATTTTATTGAAGAAGGGATGCCTTGACGTTAACTGTACAGTTCCATCAAAAAAAGTGAAGAAGACACTCGTTTATATACTACAGAAAATAGAGAGCACACTGTACGTATAGAATATAGATCACGTTTATACATATACAATAGAGATTATTCTAGAGGAGAGAAGAAGAGAAAGATTAGTATACTGATGGTCACCTCGATAACACCTCCCCCCTTCGAAGATGAACGTCCACGTTCATCCAACATAAGATAAGGTAAAAAATAAAAATAAAAAAATTGATTGCATTCTAAGCCTGATTTTAATTCCATTCATTGCAGGTAAAATTAATATCTTTTCTTTGAGTGAGGGTGACCGGGATCTGACAATAATTCAGTACAAATGAAAGTCTTTATTTAATTTTGAGGTTCAAAGATTGGTTTCATTACATTTACATGCACTTGTTTGACATAATCCGAATGCTCTAGCTGAATTTGATATGTAACAGGTCCAAGCACATTAATAACACGATATGGTCCTTCAAATATTGCTTGCATTTTATCATTCCTTACTGCTGGTTTGGCTAATACTAG